GATGGATGAGAAGGATGATGATGATGATGATGATGATGATGATGATGATGATGATGATGCTGATGATGATGATGACGATGATGATGACTCGAGCGGCTTGCTGGTTTTAGCATTCCTAAGGGGGGCCTCCAGGGGTATTGCACGGCCTCCGTTCGCGCCCAAATGGCGGGGATGTCTCGAGCGGTTTGCCTGTTTGCATGCTCAACATCATCCGCTTTCGGAGCATATTTGAAGAATGTATCGAGCGAGGCGCTCAATTACGCACCTCAGGGGGGCCAGGTTTTGGGATGTCTCGATCGGTTTAGGATGCCCCAGGGAACTCCAGGAGGCCTCAGGAAGCCCCAGAAGCGCCAGGAGGCCCCAGAAGGCAACAGGAGGCCCCGAGAGGCCCCAGGAGCAGGAGGCCTTAGGAGGCAACAGGAGTGGCTCCAGTCCCATGTGTTTTACGTATGCTTCTATACATTGGGCCTCACCTGGAGCACGAATCCTTGATATTATGCGTATGTTTCTATAGAGTCCCCTTCTCCTGTGAATACACACATCTAAATGTTTTACTATGTTCCTATAGATTGGGCGTCCCCTGGGGCACGAGTCCTTGGTGTTTACGTGTGTTCCTATAGATTGCCCTTCTCCTGTGGCTCCAATCCGCAATGTTTTATGTACGTCTGTTCCTATAAATTGGGCCTCTCCTGGGGCACGAATCCTTCCTAGGACGTCCCGGGAGGCTCCAGGAGGCCCCAGGAGGCCACGCGAGGCTCCAAGAGGCAGAGACGCGCTCGTACTACTGAGGCTCATTCACACTCCAATTCATTCGCAATTCGATTCATGACCAGACCGTCACCACTCAAGCCCGCTCATATTCGAAAACTCTTGCGCCTAGACACTCACGGCGGAAAAGGTCCATGCGAACATATGCACATGTGGGGAGCTCCACGCAGTGACGAATTACTTAGACCGCGCAGAACGAACACCTCCCAACCTCAGGTCATCATTCTCTGACTCACTCACATGTACACATGTAGACTCACTCACATTCAGGTTCACTCATACTCAGACACTCGCTCTTAGACTCTTGATGCTCAGGTTTCTCATGCTCGGGATAACTCACATACAGACTCACTCACTCTCCTGGTCCTTCCGCGCTCAGACTCACATACACGCACACACACATACACACACACACACACCTTGTGAGGATGTCTCAGCCAAGGCTCTGGTTTCAGTACTCCCACGCGGGGGCGCCAGGAGGTACTGCACTCCTCTGACGGGGATGTCTCGAACGGTTTGCTAGTTTTGGTGCCCGACATCCTCCGCTGTCGGAGCAGATTTGGAGGATGCCGCGAGCGAGGCGCTCATTTTCGCCTCCAAGGGGGAGCCGCCAAGGGGGTATTGCACTCGTCCGTTCGAGCCAAAATGGTGGGGATTTCTCGAGAAATTTGCTTGTTTTGGTGCCCGACATCCCCCGCTGTCGGAGCAGATTTGGAGGATGTCTCGAGCGTGGCGCTCATTTTCGCCTCCAAGGGGGAGCCGCCAAGGGGGTATTGCACTCGTCCGTTCGCGCCAAAGTGGTGGGGATGTCTTGAGCGGTTTGCTTGTTTTGGCGCCCAACATCCTCCGCTATCAGAGCAGATTTGGAGGATGTCTCGAGCGAGGCGCTGATTTTCGCTTCCAAGGGGGAGCCGCCAGGGGGTATTGCACTCGTCCGTTCGCGCCGATATGGTGGGGATGTCTCAGGCGGTTTGCCTGTTTGGGTGCCCAACATCTTCCGCTTTTGGAGCAGTTTCCGAGGATATCTCAGGCGAGGCGCTGGTTTCAGCACTCCCAAGGAGGGGCGCCAGGGGCCAGGGGGTAGATCACAGGCCAATTCGCGCCCAGTTTGGGGGGACGTCTCAGGCGGTTTGTCTATTTGGGTGCCCGGCATCCTTCTCTTTCGGAGCAGTTTCCGAGGATGTCTCAGGCGAGGCGCTGGTTTCAGTACTCCCAAGGGGGGGCGCCAGGGGTTATATCACAAGCCCGTTCGCGCCCAGTCGAGCTGGATTCGGCGTCTCTCTCGTTTCTCTCTCGTTTTCCACGTAGCTATTGACAAGGCCAATGTCTTCTACCGAAATGTGCCATCACTATGAGATGCACATATGGGGATCTCCGCGCCGAGAGATTTGAAAGGGCCCGGTCCCGACATTGCCAAATATCCTGGGGCTTTCCGCGGCTTCTCGCGTGACTTCTTCGGGTCCAAGAGGGCCCCAAGACGGGCCACGATGGCTCCAAGAAGCCGCCCAGACCGTCCAAGCGGGCCCCGAATCGCCGCACGATCGGTCCAAGACGCCAAAGATGGCCCCAAGACGACCTCAGAAGCCTTCGAGGCGCCCAAAGAGAACCCCAAGAGCCATCCCAAGAGGGCCCCGAGAGGCCAGAATCATTGTCTTGTCCTAGGTTGTTAATGTTTTGGGGGTCCTCGACGGTTCAGGCTTCCAACGCTTCAAGACGGCATCACGAGGCCACCAAGATCGAACCGAAAATCCGAGCCCTCAGCCCCGAGGGGCGCCCAGGAGGCCCCACGAGGTCCCCAAGAGGCCCCAAGAGCCCCCAAGAGGATCCCAAGATGCCCCAAGAGGCCCCCTGCCTGCAGGAGGCCCCCGAGAGGCCTCGACGAGATCCAATCTTCCATGCAAGAGGCCTCAGATCCACAGTCCAGGCACGGTTGCGGGATGAGCCGAGAGCCACTATCTCCCAAACAGTACTTGCACTCAGGGGCTCTTGCTTCAGCTCTAAAAAACTGGGCCGTGTGGCGGATCTGGCGGCGATGTACTCGCCGTCGCCGCCTCGTCGCCGCCCGTCTTCTGGACCGTGTGGCCAGTCTGGCGGCTATGCACTCGCCGTCGCCACCTCGTCGCCGCCCGTCGCTTGCACCACATAGATTGCACGAACAAATGTTATTGCGCAACACAGTTTGCACCAGATCGACTGCACAACCAGATGGGTTGCGCCACATAGACCACAAAAATGTGACCACGCAGGTTGCACAACATAATGTGCACAACATAGTTTGTAGCACATCGATCGCAGCACAACGTTGTCACGACGTGAGTGTTCGCAACCGCGGCGCGTTTTTTTATCGCTCGCAGCACAGTTTGCACGTCACAGACTGTGCACCATACGTATACATATAGGTTGGTGTATTAGTCCACATCAACTGCATGACATATATGTCTCTCTTTGTGTCTATATATATGGTTTTGTAATTTGCACAACATAGATTGCATTACATGCACGGCACAGCAAACATACATCACAACACATATTGGATTTCATGTGCAGCACAGCATGTATATACAACGTATATGACACAACATGAAGATGCCACCTTTAGTGCACCAAATAAATATCGTTACATCTATTGCTCCACACCACTTGCGCAACACGTGTTCCGCCACATAGGTTACATCACATAGGTTGCACAGTACATATTGCACAACATGGATTGGACCGCATAAGTTGCAGGATCTACCATGCACATCATATATCGCACAACGTAATTTACACAACAAAAATTGCAAACCATAGATTGCACCACAGAGTTTGCTCCACATAGTGTGCAATGCTAGAAACACACTGCCTGGACCCACACTGGCTATCACACATAAACGCATGTCCCCTCGTACTCGTTTTCATCATTTGTTGCGTTCTCTTTCTCTCTTTTTTTTTTTTTCTCTCTCTCTCTCTCTATATATATACACACATATATGTAGTCTTTGTTTATCTCTCTCTCTCTCTGACTCTGGCTCTCTTCCTCCCTCTCTCTCTCTCTCTTTCTACGTACTTCTCTCTCTCTCTATATATATATATGAATATAAATATATACATTTATATATATACACATATATATCCATATCTCTTCCGCTCTCTCGCAATATCTCCCTCCTCCTCCTCGCCCTCATCATCCTGCCCCTCGTCCGTCTCCGTTTTCTCCCTCTCTTCCTCCCTCGTCCCCCGCCGCCCCTCCCTCCTGCCCGTCCCCTCCGGGAAGACAGGGGGAAAAGGGGCAGGAAACTCCACCCGCACCAGGGGCCCAACGAGGCCCTGGCAGGGGCAGCTCGCGGCAGGGCCCCTGTGCGAACCACAGCTGGCCGAACGTGAAGGACAACGCAGACAGGCCAGACGGTCGCCCTCGGCGACCGTCTCGGCAAGCCGGGCGGCAGGGGCGCAGGCGGCGGAAGGGGGGGGGCGCAGCAGGAGGAAGGAAGAGACGATGGGACGGACGCGAAACACACGCAGCGGCGGGGGCGGCCAGGGAAGGGAGAGGAAGGCGGAGGGGGAGGGCAACGGGGGGAGGTGGCGGTCGTGGGGGTCGCGGGGCTAGTGGCAATGATCGTAGTAGTGGCCGTAAGGATGGTGGTAAGGGTGGTGGTCGTGCTGGACGTCGGCCGTGCTGGTTGTGATCGTGGTGGTCGTGTCGGTGGCCGGCATGTGGGTGGAGCTGAAGGTCGCGGTGGTCGTGCTGGTGGTGGTTGTGCTGGTGGTCGGTCTGCCAGTGGTCGGGGTGGTCGTACTGGCGGACGTGCTAAGTAGGGGCTAGTTGCGGACGGGCAATTTAATGGTTAGTTGTGTTGGCGTTGAGCGTGCTGTGGCAGCCGCGGCGGGGTATTGCCCAAGAGCGCTCAACACCATCTTGGCGTTCCCCGTGTCAAGGGTCACCGAGATCTCCCGCCACAGGCGGCCGAGGAGTTCCCCCCAATCGTCCTCCTCAGGTCGGCGCAATAGCTGCGCACCCTCCCTTTCTCTCTCCCTCCTCGAGGTCCCCTCCCTCCCTCCCTCTCTCCTTTTTTCCTTCTTCCTCTCCTTCTCCTTCCTTCTCCTACCTCCCTCTCCACTGCTCCCCCCCCCCTCTCCCGCCTCCCCCCTCCTGCCCTGTCCCTGCCTCTGCCAGGGACGCGCCGTGCAGTCCTTGATCCAGCTGATCTCGGACTCTGCCCGCGCGGCGCGGGTCAGGGCCTCGTCCTGTCTCATGCCAGTCGCGCTCTCGATCGCCCCGGGGGGCCGAGGGAGAGGTCCACGCAGCGACGCCCGCGCCCCGCCAGGGGCGCCACAAATCGGGCGCACGCTGACATGGATTGGGGATCCACGCCTTACTCCTTTTTCCTCCTCCTCCTCCTCCTCCTCCTTCTCCTCCTCCTCCTCCCCCTCCTCCTCCATCTGATTCTCCGCCACCGCCTCCGCCTCCGCTTCCTCCTCCTCCTCCTCCTCCTCCTCCTTCGCCTCCGCCTCCGTCTCCTCCTCCGCCTCCGTCTCCTCCTCCTCTTCCTCCTCCTCCTCCTCCTCCCTCAGCAGGGCCCAACGTCAGCAGCAACAAAAGCGATGACCAGGCGAAGCTTGAGCACGATGCCAGCAGCGGCAGCGCTGGGATCAGGGAGAGCGCCGGCCCGACATCTAGCTGCGAACAGAGGGAGGTGAAGCTCGAGCCCGATGTCATCAGCTACAGCGCTTCAGCTACAGCGCTGGCGAAGGACGAGCGGCGACGGCGAAGGACGAGCCCGACGTTATCAGCTACAATGCGACGACGACGACGACGACGACGACGACGACGACGACGACGACGACGAGCAGCGAGCACAAAAGCGATGGGACGGCGAATAACAAGCCCAACGTCGACAGCTACAGTGTGGCGACGACACACATTCACTGCGAGCGTGAGCGAGGGGGCAGCGAAAGACCAGCCCAATGTCATCAGTTTCAGCACTGGGATCAGTGCACACTCAACGGCGGCCTCGCCTCACGTGAGAAAGGCGAGCAGGATACATAGCGTTGGGAACAGCGTATGCGAGAAGGGGGGCGAAGTTGGAACCCAGTGTCGTAGTCTATTCCGGCGTTTTACTTGTGTGCGATAAGGGCGGGCAGTGGCAGCAGGCTCTTGCGCTACTCAACGAGAGGTGGAAGGCGAAGCAAAAGCCCAACGCCATCAGCTACGTTGCACACCTGGAACCCGAACGAGATGGCGACAACGCTGGGCACAACGCGTGCGAGACACGCGGGCAGTGGAAGCAGCCGCTGGCGCTACTCAGCAATATCAAGAAGGCGAAGATGGAACCCGATATCATCAGCTATCCGCTGTTACACTGCGAAGAGTGGGAGGCGAAGCTGGACGGCTCGGACGCCATCCTGCGAGGAGTGGGAGGGACAATTAATTAGCTCCAGATGTCGTTAACTACGCTGTGCCGCAATATGATCGCTGGACCAGGACAGGTCTCAGCTGCAGTGCGAGGAGCGGGTCGTGCGAGAACCAACGAAATGGCAGCAAGTTCTGTTGCCGCGGGGGGGGAGGATCGGACGAGCAATTCTAGGCTACAGTGCAGAGACCAACTCGTGCGAGAATTTGTGAGAGAAGTGCGAGACATCCCCAAGCGCCCAGGGTCAGCCTGGAGCGTGGGTTCTCTTTTGAAACCAATGGCCGCCGCTGCACCGCCGCGCCGTCCTCTGCTGCACCGCCTAGTCCCGCGTAGTCCTTCTCCTCTCCTCCTCCGCCTCTCTGCCGCCTCTCGTCCCATCGGCGATGCTCGCTTGGTGTCGAGCGGGGCGGGCATTGCGGCTTGGAGCGGAAAAGGCATGAGAGGAGAGGGGGGGACAGACGACGGAGGGCTGCGGGGGCGGAGAAAGGCTGAGGAAGATTAGGAAGCAACTCCTGGGAGGTCTTCGTCAGAGCGACTGGGCGCTACCAAGCTCAATCAAGGAGCCATTGATAGCGCCACATGAAAAACAAGTGGCACGTGTGCCATGGCTCTTGCACAAAAAAGGAAGGGGGAGGAGGATGAGGGGGAGGAGGAAGAGGAGGAGGAGGAGGAGGAGGAGGAGGAGGAGGAGGTGGAGGAGGAGGGGGGAACATGAGGCAAGGCATCGCCCTCTGGGCCCAGCAACGGGGCCCAAGTCCCAGGTGGGGAGGGGGGGGGGAGGCGGCGTGCGTCGCGACGCGGAATAAAGTGCTCGGAGCGGAGGGAACACGGGGCGGAGGTCCCACTGGGGCGCTGGGGGCGCGGAGAGGAGGGGGGGTGGCGCGTGCCGCGACGCGGAATAATTTGTCGGGGCGGGAAAGGGGGGGGGGGGGGAGGTGGCGTGCGTCGCGACGCGGAATAAAATTGTCGGGGCGGAGGGGGCACGGGGCGGAGCCCCCACTGGGGCGCTGGGGACGCGGGGGGGGCAGGTGGGGGAGGTGCTGTGCGGCGCGACGCGGAATGAAACTTTAGTGGCGGAAGGGGCAGTGGGCGGGGCCCCCGCTGGGGCGCTGGGGACGCGGGGGGGATCGGGGCAGAGAGCCACGGCGCGGGTGTCCAACTCTGGCGCTGGGGACGCGGAGGGGGGGGGTGCGACGCGTAATAAAGCGTTCGTGTCGGACAGGGGCAGTGGGCGGGGGTCCCGCTGGGGCGCTGGGGGCGCGGGGGGGCTCGGGGCAGAGAGCCACGGGGCGGAGCCCCCACTGGGGCGCTGGGGACGCGGGGGGGGGGACGCGTAATAAAGCGTTCGTGTCGGAGGGTGCGGTGAACGGGGGGGCCGCTGGGGCGCCGGGTGCGCGGGTGGGCTTGGGGCAGAGAGCCATTGCGCGGGGGTCCCACACTGGCGCTGGGGGCGCGGAGGGGGGGGAGGTGCGACGCGGGATAAAGCGTTCGTGGCGGAGGGGGCAGTGGGCGGGGCCCCCGCTGGGGCGCTGGGGACGCGGTGGGCTCGGGGCAGAGAGCCACGGCGCGGGGGCCCCACACTGGCGCTGGGGACGCGGGGGGGCGAGGGGGATGCGGGATAAAGCGTTCGTGGCGGAGGGGGCAGTGGGCGGGGCCCCCGCTGGGGCGCTGGGGACGCGGGGGGGCTTTGGGCAGAGAGCCACGGCGCGGGGGCCCCACTCTGGCGCTGAGGACGCGGGGGGGGAGCGGGGGGCGACGCGAAATAAAATGTTCGGAGTTCTAGACGCCCTGTGCAAGAGAATACAAGTGTCGGGGCGGATAATAGGTGTGCCTTGCCTAAATAAAAAAAAAAAGGTCGGGGCGGGGGTGCGCGCTGGCTGGTGGGCGGGGCGGGGGGGGTGCGTAGGGGGTGTGCCGTGCCGAAATGAAAGGGGTCGGGGCGGAGGGGTGTGCCGTGCCGGAATAAAGGTGTCAGGGCGGAGGGGCGTGCTGGCTGGTGGGTGGGTGGGGTGGGGGGGTGCGTAGGGGGCGTGCCGTGCCTAAATAAAGAGGTCGGGGCGGAGGGGTGTGCCGTGCCGAAATAAAAAGGGTCGGGGCCGAGTGGTGTGCCGTGCCGAAATAAAGGTGTCGGGGTGAAGGGGCGCACTGGCTGGTGGGTGGGGTGGGGGGAGGCGGAGGGGTGTGGCGTGCCGAAATCAAGTGATCGGGGCGGAAGGGTGTGCCGTGCCGAAACAAAGGGGTCGGGGCGGAGGGGCGCGCTGGCTGGTAAGTGGTGTGGGGGTGGGGGGGGGCGTAGGGGGCGCGACGTGCCGAAATAAAGGGTCGGGGGCGGAGGGGTGTGCCGTGCCGGAAAATGAAGGGGGTCGGGCGGAAGGGGGTGTGGCCGTGCGAAATAAAAGGGGTCGGGGCGGAGGGGTGGGCCGTGTCGAAATAAAGGATCGGGCGGAGGAGCGCGCTGGCTGGTGGGATGGTGGGGTGTGGCGAAGGGGGTGTGGCCGTGCCCGAAATAAAAAGGGTCGGGGGCGAGGGGTGTGCCGTTACGAAATAAATGGGTCGGAGCGGAGGGCGCGCTGGCTGGTGGTGGGGGGCGGAGGGGTGGTGCCGTGCGAAATAAAGGGTCGGGGCGGGGGGTGTGCCGTGCCGAGGCCAACGGGGCCGGGGCAGGAAGGGGGCGCGACTGGCTGGTGGGTGGGTGGGGGGGGGCTAGGGGGCGCGCCGTGCCGAAATAAAATGGTCGGGGCGGACGGGTGCGCCGTGCCGAAATAAAGGAGTCGGGGCGGAGGGGCGCGCTGGCTGGTTGGTGGCGGGGTGGGGGGGCGTAGGGGCGCGCCGTGCCGAAATAAAAGGGGTCGGGGAGGAGGGATGTGCCGTGCCGAAATAGAGGGGCCGGGGCGGAGGGGGCGGACTCACTGGCTGGTTGGGTGGGGGGTGGGGGGGCGTAGGGGGTGGTGCCGTGCCGAAATATAAAGGGGTCGGGGCGGAGGGGTGTGCAGTGCCGACATGAAATGGTCGGGGCGGGGGAGCGCGCTGGCTGGTGGGCGGGGCGGTGGGTGGCGAAGGGGGCGCGCCGTGCCGAAATAAAGGGGCCCGGGCGGAGGGGCGTGCCGCGCCGACATAAAAGTGTCGGGGCGGAGGGGCGCACTGGCT